TAATAAAAAATAATAGATAATATAATAGATGCAGATTAGCATATTGTCAAATATTTCAAAAATGTAATCCTTTATATAAAAGTCTTTAAATTTTATTTTTGCTCGTGCCTCGCGCGTTTTTACCCTCCGTTGATCCATTATTAACTCTCTTTTATTTTCTTCTATTTTATTTTCTTTTTTCGAAATCATCGAAAACTTAGAAAAATTTGGCACTGGTTTCAAACAAATCAATTCTTAATGAAAAATTATCCATTAATAAAAAAATAAACTTATCCTCCAAAAATTAAAAAAATTTTGACTCCTATTTCATATATAATTCTTTAAGATATGGTTAATTAATTCCCGAAAAATTGTAAAAATTTTGTAACCGGTTCCCAAAAAAATCGGTAACAAAAAATTATACACTTTATAGCAAACCCCAGGAAATTCTACCTTTATTTCATATACAATTCTTTGAAATTTGATCAATTAACTCCCGAGAAATTTGAAAAATTTTGTAACCGGTTTTCACAAAAATCGGTAACGAAAAATTATCTATAAAAATTATCCATAAAAAAAATTTAGCTTGATATCTCAAAATTTACGGAAATTGGAGCAGAAATCGGAAACCTTTTTATTATTAGCAATTTTTCTATAAACTCATCGTAGCCATCCTAAAAAAATTAGAAAATTTTGAAACCGGTTTCCAAAAAATTGATTATGAAAAATTATACACATCTTCGCCATCCCCGAAAAATTTGGGCATAGTTTTTAAGAAAGTAACGAAAAATTATCTTTAAAAAAATTTAGCTAATATCTCAAAATTTGAGGAAATTAGAACAATCACGTACCTACATTTTTTTAAACAAAAATCGAAAACATTTTAGAAAAATTGGAAAAACTTCGTAACCGGTTTCAAGAAAATCAATTCATTAATGAAAAATTATCCATTAATAAAAAATTAAACTTATCCTCCAACAATTAAAAAAATTTTGACACGACTGCTATTTCATATATAATTCTTTAAGATTTGGTCAATTAATTCCCGAAAAATTTCAAAAAATTTGTAACCGGTTTCCAAAAAAATCGGTAACGAAAAATTATACATTTTATAGCAATCCCGGGGAAATTCTGCCTTTATTTCATATGTAATTCTTTAAGATTCAATTATTTTCCGAGAAATTGGAAAAATTTTGTAACCGGTTTCCAAAAAGATCGGTAACGAAAAATAAAACACTTTATATCACTCCCCAGAAAATTCTACTTCTATTTCATATACAATTGTTTGAGATTCGGCCAATTAATTTCCGAAAAATTGGAAAATTTTCTGATACCAATTTCCCCAAAAATCGATAACGAAAAATTATACACTTTATGGCAATCCCCGGGAAATTCTACCCCTACTTCATATAATTTTTTAAGATTTGGTCAATTAATTTCCGAAAAATTGAAATAATTTTGTAACCAGCTTTCAAAAAGATCGGTAACGAAAAATTATACACTTTATAGCACTCCCCGGAAAATTTTACCCCTGTTTCATATATATTTCTTTTAAATTCAGTCAATTATTTCCCGAAAAATTAGAAGAATTAGAAAAATCGGTTTCCAGAAAATCGGTAGCAAAAAAATGGCCACGACATTTTCATCCCCGGGAAATTCTACCCCTGTTTCATATACTTTTGGTAAAAATTCGGTCCACTAACGAATGAGTAGTTCGCGTACATACAGACAGACAGACAGACAGACGTGACTTATATATATAGATAATAATACTCAAATGACATAAAACTAAAATAAATATGTTTTTTGAACCCTAATAAATAAGTTCTGATAGGCATTTAACTCATATTCGCAGTTATACTTTCGGCGGAGACTTTAGAAAGTAACCTATCAAATTACTAGAATTTTAGTATTCACGAAAATGTCATACTTTATCAGATCATTTTGAGAAAATAACAAAGGATAAAATCAATTATAAGCACATTTATTTATAGTTTAGGATATATATTAACATAAAATCTCATCAAAATTTGAATTATACGTTTTTCATTTTTTCGTCCAATATCCGGTTTATGATAGATTCGCCCCACTGTGCGCCGCGTCTCGTCAGACTCGTCTAGCGTGCGTTAACGTTTAGTCGATTCGTACATTCGCGTCTCTTTACTTATATATTAGCGTCTCGTATATATAAGCGTCTCTTATATATCTCGTCGTGTAATCCATTAAAAGTATAAGTTCTTTTGTATTCTTTCGTTTATTGCGCGGTGTATGGAAAGCTCTGCTGTTTTTGTGCGAAGAGCGAGCGTTTTTTGGAAAACTTTGTCGCTTCAGTTTTTTTATTTGGAAATAGAAAAGCCACACCTTTATTTTTATTCATAAGATACAAGTTATTATTTGCTTTAGAATCAACACAATCAGCATTGGATAAAAAACAGAGATTCTTTATCTTTTTCCTCTTTATCAATAAATATTATTAAAGCATGATGTGTTATATTATATAGAACAATCTTTGTTTACACCTAAGTAATGATAGATTAAATCTAAAAATTTATGTTTAATATAATATGTCATATATTATATTCAATATATTATAAAAGAAAAAGTTAAAAATATTACATCTCTTAATTAAAGTTACAATATAGATAATTATAAGCAGAATAGAAATAATAAAAATTGTTACAATTTAAACATTTACATTTAAACAAATGTTTAAAACATGTTTTTATTTTTTAGATATATATTTGTTTACAAATTGATATTAGGTATATATTTTTGAAAGTTTAATAGAGATTTTAAAGGTTAAAGGAAAAGGGTATAGGGGATAAGCATGTAAAAATTGCAAGTATGAAGTTGATATTGGCGTCGTAAGTTAGTACCCATGTGACCTTAAACTCCTGCAAATATTGACCTTGAAATTATATTTTTGAAGAAGTTATGGAGGAAAAAAGAAAAAAAAAACAAACAATTTCTTTCTCGAAAACGGCTCGACCAATTTTTATGAAAAAAATATATCTTGTAGGTATCAATAATGGTGTTTAAAAGAAAATATTTTGTAATTTTTGAACAAATAATAGAGCTAAAAAAATTTTTTGAATTTTTCAAACAATTTTTTTTTGTGTTTCTTTAGAGTGACACCTTTAATTTTTTTGCAAAAACATTGTACTAGTATCTATTTTAACATATAATTTTCCTAGATAAAAAATATAGTTTTGGAGTAAAAAATGAAAATCATGATCGTGTCACCTGATGCTCAAAGTAACGCCTTGTAGCGCCGGTCAAGGCATAAAGGTGCTTTGTTATTGAATGGCATATTTTGTTAGAAAAGCTTTGGCTTATTATTTATTACTTGTTTATCACATTTTTTTAAGGCTTTAATTACAATTTTTTAATTATTTTATATATGTTTTAAATATGTTTATTCAATAATGGGTATTCTTCTGTTGAATATATACAATGATTTCATTTACATTTCTATAATATTCATTTAACGGAGCAACATCTGGAATCTGAAAATTAATGCAAAATTTTAATTCATAGAAACTGCAAAAATCGCATCTCATAATTATAAATGCTAACATACCAGCAGATTTTTCATAATGTTGCATCAGGTACTATCCGTGCAACTTTTGAATTCCAGATACTGAGACACTTTACCCATGCAATAGCCCCATTATAATCAGCAATATTTTTGGTACAATTTCACACAGCACGCCTATTGAGCATCAGGTGACACGACCATGATGACATATATAAAATAATTAAAGAATTGTAATTAAAGCCTTAAAAAAATGTGATAAACAAGTAATAAATAATAAGCCAAAGCTTTTCTAACAAAATATGCCCTTTCAATAACAAAGCGCCTTTATGCCTTGACCGGCGCTACAAGGCGTTACTTTGAGCATCAGGTGACACAATCATGATTTTCATTTTTTACTCCAAAACTATATTTTTTAAAAATTTGGGAAAATTATATGTTAAAATAGATACTAGTACAATGTTTTTGAAAAAAAAATTAAATGTGTCACTCTAAAGGAACACAAAAAAAAAATTGTTTGAAAAATTTTAAAAATTTTTTCAGCTTTATTATTTGTTCAAAAATTACAAAATATTTTCTTTTAAACACCATTATTAATACCTACAACATATATTTTTTTTATAAAAATTGGTCAAGCCGTTTTCGAAAAAAAAATTTTTTGTTTTTTTTCTTTCTTCCTCCATAACTCCTTCAAAAATATAATTTCAAGGTCAATATTTGCAGGAGTTCAAGGTCACATGGGTACTAACTTACGACGCCAATATCAACTTCATACTTGCGGGGGCAATTTTTACATGCTTATCCCCCTATGCCCTTTATTTTTGGAATAACAATATTAATATAGTTCTTGTGTATGACGATAAAATTTATTTTTTAAAATATCAGTTTAAAAAAAACAATTGTTATGTATAAGATAGTAAGACGCAAAAATAAAATTAAATAAGATATCAATATAAAATTTATACTTTTATATGCTTTAGTTCTCATTTATAAACTAAAATAAAACTTATTTTATAAATTTCTTGAGTTTTATATTTATATTACGGTATAAATATCTATATATTATTGTATCTACATTATACATTGTATTATGTAATATAGATAAATATTTACATTACATTTATTCTAAATAAATTCTTTACAGTGATTTAATAGGATCCTTATTAGTATCAGTTAAATATTAGCAAAATTAAATCAATTATACAGATTTAAGTAGGAGGAGGGAATTTTACTGTTCCAACGGAAACTGTATTTTAAATCCGGCCAATAATCAGCGCGCAATTTACTAGTTTCGAAATATGTGTACTAAATACACACAGAAATATAATCTTCTACGAAGATCCAGCTTAATTAGACTGTAAATGGAGTTTCTTTTAAATTAATTTGTACATTACATCCATGTTTTATTATTAAAACGAAATCTAGAGAAAAAATATAGTAACACATAGAATATAACATATAATATAAATTTTATATATATTTTTTAGAATTTTTTATAAGTCTCAATTCTTACAAAATTTCTGAGAAAATATAAGAAATTTTTTCATCAGGGCTATTCAGTTGGTGCAAAAATAATTGCGGTTTTTAATCTTCAACTTCAAATGTGAATATCTCAGCTCATTGAATGGTCTACGTTAAGTATTTGTGCAACTTCTCTAGTAGTTTTCAGTGAATCCGCATCGATAGGTAATGGCTTTCAATTGATGAACATTATCAACAGCTTCAGGTCGATCACTTCCCGCTTCATCTTCTAAACTTTTGTGGAGCTAATGGTATCTATACGTTTCTTGGACGGTCTTTTGGCCGAATGCCTGGTTGATATTGCGTGCAGTTTCTGAAGCTTTTTACGACCCAATTTGAACTCATGCAAGAAAACCGTACAAGAAAATCGTACGAATTGCTCCTTTTTCATTTTCAATTTGATAGTTCTTAATAACTTCATATATACGCTAGGAAGGACAATAGCACTAGCATAAATGAATACAGGGAAGTCAGAACTTTAAAGTGGTATACCATGTGACTATAATAAGACACAACTTCATGTCGAAATACAGAACTGAAATTTAAAATCAAAGTGATAGAAACTGCAATTATTTTTGCACCAACCTAATATATTATAAAAATAGTATAGAATATAATATATATATTGTGTATCCTTGTGGGTATGTGTTCATAAGCCTATGTGTTAGTAAAACGTTAGTAAAAAGAGAGATCACGTTTTTTTAAAGAAGTACAAATCATCAAGTTTTTTATTTAAACATTTTAAACATGTATTAAGCAGTGTTTACATAATAATATGTTTAAAACAAAAGATACATACGTTTACATTTAAAACATATCCCGGACAGCACAATGTCCAAAATCGGGACATAAGACGTGTTTTAGACGTTTTTCAGATATCTTTTAGCAATCTTTTCGTAAGACGTCTAAAAGATGTCTTTTAGATACCTTATGTTCCACTTTTAGACATGGGTGCTGTCTGGGATCCTAATATGTAAGAAAAATTATGTAAACGTGAGAAGCGCGCGTTTGAAGTCGAAATGTATCGCGGGTTTTGGAATGATAATACATGGCCTCTTGTAAATCAGAATCGGATGATCAGAAACCGAAAGTTCTTGGGTTCAATCTCAGCGTTCATTTTACATATTCTTCGTCTTAAGAGGAGGTTTTCCCCGATTAAGGAAAAGAGTGTTTAAAGACTAAAAAAGCACCATTATACATAGCATTCTTCTTTATCCTGTTGATGGCCGTTTGGGTTAATTAATTATTTGTCACTTGATGCCAAAACAAAATAATGATTTTAAGCAAAATGACACTTACCGGTAGTAATTTATTATAAGAATGATCTGATTCTATGCAAAGACTTAATCTGGATAGGTGACAACGTACCTCCTATAAAATTAATTGAAAAGTCAGTGAAAACTTCAAATGGGAATAAAATGCATGTAAAACAGGTAAGTTAATTGTCAGAAATCGTATACCTCAGAAAGTGATGGTACAGCATTTTGTTTGAGTTTTTTTTTGCCATCTTCTCTTATTTTCTCAAACTCAGACTGAGCGAAATGCAACTAGATATAAACAAAAACAAAACAAAAAACATGTAAATTTCTATTCTTTATTTATAATAAGGAACTTATGTAAGTAACAGGAAATATCAAATTCAATTAACCTCACATACAGCAGATGATTGAGATATTCTTATATTCCCTAAATTTTGCCTCCACTTAGTCTTTAAGATACTATCCGTTGGAAAAATCCGAAGAATGAGATCATGACCATACTTAGTTGAGCATCCAGGTATACAACATTTGTTGTATCCCATAATTTCACAGATCCAAAGATTACATTTAGCGTTTTCTATAGAGGCTGCGTCCCGATATTCACTACCAGTGCACACATGTTTAAAAGATGTCTTTAAGCCAGTGGCACACGGTGCATGTTTTCCTGCTGGATCGCTTGCAATCTAGTAAATTACTATAATTGCACCACTCAGCACTCAAGATTTCTGGTAATTTACTAGATCGCAAGCAGTCCAGCAGGAAAACATGCTCCGTGTGCCGCTGGCTTATAAGATATCTTTTAGACATGCGCGCTATCTGGGTAGTGTCCACTAGTGTACGTACATACATACATACACTGATAGTGAGTGTAAATGTTTTCCAAGGGACATTTAGTAAAATTTAAAAAAATCTGAAACTTTGCATAGTAATTTGCATAGTAAAAGTAATTGCATAGTAAAAAAAAATAGAGTAATAGGTTCTAATAATAAAATAATTTTTTGTTTGGGCTAAAAAATGGTTTTAGGGGTGAAAATACCCCCTTGAAAAAAAAATAATTTTTACATTTCTCGCTGTTTAATGACGGCTTATTTTTTTTCTCTTCTTCGAAAGTTCTCTGCAAGACATTACATAATATAATTTTAAATGTTGTTTTCTATAAATTGTTTATTCTTACAATTAAATTATTAAAATTATTAAAATATTATTTATTCTATGTAATTGTTACAATTATAATATATTGTTCAAAGAAATATTAAAAACAAAAACAAAAACAAAAAAAAAAACAAAATCAAAACAAAGAATAACATGTGTCAATTATAGTAGTATAAGTATTTGTTATATGTCGAGAAAAATAAATCGTTTCACATATTCAATAATATATAAAATAATTCATTTAAATGTTAATTAATTAAAAAAAATGTTACATAGTATTTTATTTGTTATCGTAAGTAATTATACTTACACAGCGTTATGAAGAATAAAGAAGCAGTATAAATTCAAGAGCAAAGTTGTTTTTTAATAAACGCTTTAATAAAACGGCTTTTTAAAAGGTAGACTAGAACAAATACAGACGCGCGCGTAGCGCGCACCATTTATTTAATTATATATATACATATATTAAACTTTTTTTAGATCCTCAGGGGTGTGCGTATTTCAATTTTGTATTTTAACTCGAAAGCGGTTCATCGTTAAAAAAAACGCAAGAGGAAGTCTTTATAGAGTTTTAGTTCCTGATTAAAAAAATTGTTAAACAAAAAAAACCCAGTGGCGTACTATTTTCTCATTTTCTTCATTAAAAAACTTAATATATATGAATTAAAGTAATTTAAATTGACCGTGACTGGCAATATATAGCGTCTTTTCGATATGAACATTGAAAAACTGTGAGCCAACTTGGTTTGTCGGATTCACACAGCAATTTTTTTCGGATCAATCATCGAGACATTATTAATTTTGACCATGGTTTTGGTCAGTTGATGTAATTTCTAAATTAAATAGTTTTTAAATTTTATTGCGAAAAATATTACCCCAGCCAGGGTTTGAACCTGGAACCTCCCGTATACCGTGCAGGCGTCGTGCCAATTCGACCACTGAAGCTGTGGTAATATTTATCGCAATAACAACTATAAGATGGAGCACCGATTACTAGGTCAACGGTGTATAATAAACAGAATAATAAATTTCTTTCGCCAGTATATAGAATAACAATTA